AGTGCTGAGCTGTGGGCAGTGCTGAGTGCTGAGTGTTGAGCTGTGGGCAGTGCTGAGTGCTGAGCTGGTGGGCAGTGCTGAGTGCTGAGCTGGTGAGCAGTGCTGAGTGCTGAGCTGTGGGCAGTGCTGAGTGCTGAGTGCTGAGCTGTGGGCAGTGCTGAGTGCTGAGTTGTGGGCAGTGCTAAGTGCTGAGCTGGTGAGCAGTGCTGAGTGCTGAGCTGTGGGCAGTGCTGAGTGCTGAGCTGGTGGGCAGTTCTGAGTGCTGAGCTGGTGGGCAGTTCTGAGTGCTGAGCTGGTGGGCAGTTCTGAGTGCTGAGCTGGTGGGCAGTTCTGAGTGCTGAGTGCTGAGCTGTGGGCAGTGCTGAGTGGCAGGCAGAGGAAAGGGGCCTCTGCAGGCCGGTCTGCTTCACTGTGTGTTTTGTGCTCCCCTGGATTTTCTCTAGCAGCTTCCAGCAGCTTCGTCAATGGTGAAAGAATGCACCAATCTGAAACCCAGGGTCTGAAGTCTGCGTCGTTCGATGATGCCCCATTGCTGGCCTGAGTGGCCCATGGCCCACGCTGGGGACTCCTCACAGGCTACAGAGCTGGGGGAGCTTTGATGCCGTCAGCCGTGCCCTGACGGAGAGCCCCCCCCCCTCGCAGGGGGCAATACGCACCGGTCTGGTAAACACAAACCCTTGCTCAAGGCTGCCCCAGCCTGGGATGCGATGGACACCAGACAGGGGAAGAGACCCACAGGCCATACAGACAGCAGCGGAAGGCCCGCCCGTGTGGGCCTGGAGACCCACGCGATGGCCACGTGCCCCATGCACACAACGGATGCTCAGGACAGTGTCAGCCACCGGTGTTGTTCTTTCCTTCCTCCTTCCTTCCTTAGCTTACCTTCTCCTCCTTCCTCTCATTGAATTATTTTCTCTTGAACAGTGAGAAGCAATGTGTCAGCCGTCGGTACACCCGCACCACCAAAGCAATGTGTCAGCCGTGGGTACACCCGCACCACCCTGGATTCCTCATCGGTGAACTCGGCGGGCTCTGCCCACTGCGCCTTCCTCACAGGCTACAGTGAGGATCCGGGCAACATTCCCTGCCCCGTGCCTCTCCTTCCTTCTCTCGTGAGGCAGGGTCTTCCTACATGGACGAGGCTGGCCTTGAACTCTCGATCCATCTGCTCAGCCTTCCAAGCGCTGGATGACAGATGCATTGCCATACTTGGCTCAGATCAATTGTATGGACGAGTGGCTCTTGTAAATGTATTGGACTATGCACCCCTGGGCCACTCCAAGAGTTGGCTCCAAGGGTTTGGTCCCCAGATAAATTAGTAAGAGCATCTCCCCAACAAGCAGGGAGACAGTCTCACACGAGTGGCTTTTGTCAGAGCAGCCATTTGTCACGTTTAAAAGCCTAGAGGTAGTTTTGTGGTTTTTGTTATGTAGACCACGGACTTAAAGAAAAAGAACTCTTAGATTTGGAATAATTATATACCATAGGCAGTAGCAAAAATAGCTGAGAGTCCTAGGCCCCTCTCCCTGTCCCCAGGGGTGACATCTTAGATAACTGTGCAGTGCCGTAAGCCAGGAAGCAGACATGGTGAATCATACTACCCACCTTCCTCAGTTCTTCACCACTGCATTTTGTTTCCTGGGGGTTGTGTGTGTGTGTGTGTGTGTGTACTGGGCCTGGAATTCAGGGCCTGGGCACTGTCCCTGAGCTTTTTTGCTCACTGTCTTACTTCTGGCTTTTTTAGTGCTTAAGTGGAGATAAGTGTCTCAGAGGCTGTCCTGCCTGTGGCTAGTTTTGAACCACGCTCCTCAGATCTCAGCCTCCTGAGTAGCTAGGATGACAAGTATGAGCCACTGTTCTTTTTTTTAAGAAGGGGAGAATTTTCACAAGTGTCAGGGAGTCATGTTTTCAGTGCTGGCATGGGAGTCGAGTGTGTCACACCTGCACTTGTGCGATGAGCACTCTGCTGCGGAGCCACAGGGCCTGGCCTCATGGCGTCCGAAAACAGCAAATTTCAGTCATTTAGCCACCCAGTCTTAGCTGCCACTCAGCTTAGTAAGGTTCTGACCAACTTTTTTTTTTTTTGGTTGGTCTTGGGACCTGAACTGTGGGGCTGGGCGCTGTCCCTCTGCTCTTCAGCTCAAGGCAACTGCTCTACCACTTCAGCCACAGAGCCACTCAGGGCTTTTTCTGCTTATGTGGTGCTGAGGAATGGAACCCAGGGCCTCATGCATGCAAGGCAAGCGCTCTATCACTGAGCCACCTTCCCAGCCCAGTTCAGACCATCTTGATATCTGACCACGTCCACCCCCAACCGATGTCTGCATCCTTGGCCTGCGCTCATCAGGAGTCCAGTTCTGTCAGTTTAGAGGCCCTGCCCCTGTTTCTGGTGTCCCTTCTTAGGAATTTCGTCCACGCTGCCCACTAACCCTGGCTGAGCCCATCTCTCAATCCCAGCCGTCAGCCTGCCACCTGTCAGGATGTCCCTGAGTGATGTCTTGCCACCTCTCCTAGACCATTCTGGGTGGCCATGTCCTTGCTGGCTCCATGGGGGCAGGTGTGCAGGCTGCCGGCCTCCGACACGGCCCCAGGCTCCCACAGAGGCCCGCGTGTTCTGAGCAGAGGACCTCAGCTTCAGAGGAGAGCCCAGGGTCTACAGAGGCGGCTGCTTTGTCCCCTGCAGCCCCGGACCCCATTCAGAGTATTTCAGACCCGGGCAGGTGCCAGGGGCAGGTGAAGCTGTGTGAGGCCATTTGTGGGCTCTCCTCCCGCACTTTTGACCTTCACATTCACTAGTTACTCAGCACACGTGTCGGGCAGGGCCACTCTGAGCTGTAGGCCCTGGGGCAACTCCGGGGCTCTGATGACGGGATGTGGGTTGGATTACCACCAGGTTAATCGTGTGGCTTTTGTTTCCTTTGTCTCGAGGTTTGGCAAGATGTGGGAGAAGCAGCACTTACTTTTCTTATCCGTGGTGTTGTGCACGGTCACTCTGGGCACGCCCGGACCTGGGGTGGAGGGCAAAGAAACAAAATGGAGGCGGTCAGCGCTGAGAAGGGGAGAAGCAGCTTTCCTTAGTGCGGAGTACGTGGCTCAGGCACTGAGGCCAGGTGGCCTTGGGGAGCTCCGCCCCCACCCCACCCCAAGCCAGCCTCCAGGAACCCAGCTCACAGCTCAGATGCCGGTTCCATGGAGGACTTTTCCATCTGTGATGCTGCAAAGACGCTGTGCTCTGAACTGGGGCCCTGTGGTCCTGTCCTGGTGCGGGGTGCTGTCCTCGGTACCCGTGCTCTCTGGCCCAGGCAGCAGGGGTTCGGGAAGGGTGGGCTGGCAGCCCTGGGCCTGCTGCTCTCTCTGACCCCAGACATTGGCACGGCTGATCTTTCTCTTCCCTTAATTCTCCGCTCATAAGCCTTCGATCACCCAATCTAAGTGGACACCCCACCCGTGACCACAGGATCACCTCAATGCTCACACAGGCTCCCTTCTTCCTGGAGAGCTCATTGTCACATGACAGAACAGCCTGGTACTCAGTGTCAGCACAGCTGTTCGGTGTCTCCCTCCTTACAGGAAGGACACAGGCTGCACCACCATCAAGAACTCAGCTTCTCCGTTGCTGTGATTCTTTGGATCTAGAAACGTTCTCCACACGAAGCTGGGTGGGTGGTAGCGGAGGGCACCGGGGAGCGAGGCCCGGGGCTGGGGAGTGTGTGGAGGGGGAGGAGGAGGTGGGGAGCAGGAGGCAGGCGATGGCCAGAGCTGTCATGGGGACCACTGCCGGGCCCTGCCCCAGGTTGGAGACTCTGTGCCGTGTCAGGGGGGAGGGGCTCAGGCACTGCAGGTCACATAGGAGCTGGAAGTTTGCAGCCCTGAGGGCCCCTAGAGATGCTCCCTCCTTCTCCTCCCCCTCCTCTTCCTCTGGTCCCCCTCCCCTTTCTAATACTCCCTTCCTACTTTCACGTCTTTCCAAAAACCTATGAGAGCGAACACTCCATGCTTGTCTTTCTGAGTTTGGCTTACTTTGATTAACAGGATGATCTTCAGTTTTGTAATTTTCCTGCAAATGGCATGACGCTGTTCTTCTTTATAGCAAAATAACCCCCCACCACGTGCATACGCTGCCTAAACCCAGCCATGCGCATACACTGCATAAACCCCACCAGTGCATACACTGCGTAAAACCCTGCCATGTGGGCTGGGAAGGTTGCTCAGTGGTAGAGTCCTTGCCTTGCATGCATGTGGTCCTGGGTTCAATTCCTCAGCACCACATAAGCAGAAAAAGCCTGAAGTGGTGCTATGGCTCTAGTGGTAGAGTGCTATCCTTGAGCTGAAGAGCTGAGGGACAGCACCCAGGCCCAGAGTTCAGGCCCCACGAGTGACTAAACAAACAAAAAACCCACCATGTGCATACATGCATTATCTCTCCCCGTTCAGTGGCTCACGGGCATGCAGGTTTATTCAACAGCAAGGCCAGTGTCAAATAAACGTGGCGTGCAGGTGTCCCTGTTGTGAGCAGACTGAGACCCCTTCAGGTGTATGCCCCAGTGATCACACGGCAGGACCGGTGGCAGGTCTGTTCGTGGTTTCCTGAAGAGTCTCCGTACTGGTTTCCACAGAGGCTGCACTAGTTTTCATTCCCACTGCTCCTCTTCCTTCTTACTGTGGTCTGTTCCCATGTACCCAGAGATGGGGCCCTCACATACCCAGAGATGGGGTCCCATGTACCCAGAGATGGGGCACACACATACCCAGAGATGGGGTCCCATGTACCCAGAGATGGGGCCCTCACATACCCAGAGATGGGGTCCCATGTACCAAGAGATGAGGTACACACATACCCAGAGATGGGGTCCCATGTACCAAGAGACAGGGTCCCAAGAAAGACTGCAGGATGCTGGGTTACATGAGAATCTCTGAGAAACAATATACATGTTCTTACCATTAGCATGCTCTCCTGGTACTTGGGACATGGCATTTAGAGTTGTTGGTTGCCTACTTGAAATTTAGTGATACCTGGGCCACCAGTACTTTGATTTGCTAATTCTGGTTCCCCCTTCCCAGGAAGGAGCACCAACCCAAGCCACTGGTGAGTGAACACCTAAGAGAGAGCACTATGGAAAGGCAGTGGAGCACTGGCTAGAGGATTAAATTATTGAGGACAACTAAGCATTCAGGCTTGTGGATCTGTTTCCCCCCAGGGAGGCTGCGTGGACTGTAGAGTGGTTATTGAGAAGTAAAAGCCTACAACTATTTCCTCTGCACATTTCAGGATGAGTAAATTTGCAAACAAAGCACACCCCACATGCTTATTAATAATGTAAACAGTTATCATTTATGTACTGCCTACTACGTAAAAGGCACTCTGCTAGATGTTTCACATGAATAATTTCTAATCTGATCTTCACAGCAGGTCTGCACAATAGATGTCTCTAAGTGTATTTTACTGGTGAAAAGACAGGTTTGAGAGCAGGGAAGTCTGTTGCTTCATCCACACAATAAAAAACTTACTGAGCTTGGATTCATATTCCTTCCCCTTTGAACTCATTAATGTAATGCTTCAAAAAATTCACATACCAAGGAAAAGCACAAAATAATAACTGAGTGACTACTTTTTAATCTCACCTCCTGGAAATAATCAAAATATTTCTAAAATGTCTTAAAGCGACACACAGAGCAAGTATGTGAAACAGCACAAAACAAAAATAACATAAGATACTTGCATCTACATCTGCAAGCTTTGCCAAATCTTTTCTTCTTCTTTTTTTTTCTTGGCACCTGTCCTGGGGCTGGGCACTGTCCCTGAGCTTTTTTACTTAAGGCTGGCGATTGACAACTTTGAGCAACAGCTCCACTTTTGGCTTTTGGATGGTTAGCTGGAGATGAAAGTCTCATGGACTTTCCTGCCTTGGCTGTCTTTGAACTATGATCCTCAGATCTCTTTCAGCCTCCTGAGTAGCTAGGACTATAGGAGTGAGCCACCAGTACCTGTCTCCTTTGACACATCTTAACTTACACTGGCCCTAGGTATAAAACAAAACAAAACAAAAAAAAAACCAACAAGCCACGAAGCCAAACACAGTGGTTTAAGGCTGTAGTCCTGGCTACATGGGAGGTAGAGATCAGGGGATATGGCTTAAGGCTAGCCTGAACATAAAAGTTTGGGAAACTCCATCTCAACCAGAAAATGGAATAAACAGGTAGAGGGGACACCTACACTGGTGTGATCACGCAGCAATGTTCACAGCAACCAGACGTGGACAGCTGAAGTGGCCAGCCATGGGTGGAGTTGGGCATTTAAAAAGTCAGAAACTCCGTCCTTTGTGACAACATGGACGCATCTGGAGGGCACTATGCTAAGCAAAATAACCAGGCAGTGTGTGGGGATGTAAAAATGTCAAACGCCTACAGAGAGTGTAATGTTGTCCACCAAGGGTGGGGTGGCGGGGAGGGCTGGGGAAGAGGGGGGAAAGTCAGGGAGAGGAGGAAGGAGAAGGGATACAAAGTTTCAGTTAGACAGGAGGCGGTATACTGTTTAAAAGTACTGTGCAAAATAAAAAAGTACTGTACATTAGGTCTATAGTTAATAACCCTGTATTGTATTCTTGAACAGTTGCTAAGAGAAAAATATGCCAGCTAGAGCATAATAGAGGGTTTCCCAAGGTAAAATACTTCACACAGGCGGGATGTTTATTCTCACATCTTTTAATCTGCATAGAAAATTGTGCTCATCCTTGTGCTATTTGGGAAGGTAGCTCTTTGTCATCCTTGTGCAGATGTTTTCTCCTGTGTTCCTTAATAGTGTCGTTGGTACAAATGACAGTCATTATTGTGCAGAATCTTAATTATTAGTATTTTTTAAAAAACAGAGCTAGCCAGACCACTCACACTGTGATTTCTCTTCACTTGTGTGGAATTCAATTCAAGTCACGGGGCATTCTGCTCCATGGAGGGCCCAGTGCTAGGTCCATGGGGCAGGTGTCAGTGAGAAACAGACATGAGGTTTAAAAATCCAACAGGGAAGACACACACAGACACACAGACACACAGACAGACAGACAGACACACACACACAGGGACACGATCGGCTCAGTCATCTGGCTCCTGGGTTCAGGGTGCCATGCTTCCATTCTACAGGCAGGAGGGTGCTGGGAGGCTGGGGCCAGCTGCAGGTCTGTGCCAGCTCTTTGTGCAAAATGCTGAGGTCTGTAGTAAGAGCAATGGCGTGTCAGCAAAGCCCCAGTGGGCACCACTTTGCTGTTACGTGCCTGGGCAAGGGTTTGGGGATGTCCTCATCGCTATTGTGGTCAGTGGTGTCCAGCGCCGTGGATGCACAGACTGATGGACACAGGGAGGCGTGCCGGGGCCGGGAATGTGCCTGTACGGAGACGAAGACTCGGCCCTTGCCCAAGGGGACGGAGGAGGAGGTAAGCAGGCGGCACGGGACCTCGGCGCTGCTCCTTCCTGCTCATCCTGTGGATACTTTTTGTTTTCATCCAGACTTGGGAGCTGGGAAGCAGACACTCGTGTTTCCTCATGTGTAGCTCTGTGGATGAGGTCAAGTACTCCAGATGTGGTCCATATGTGATGCTCTTGCTTGCGTGTTCCCAGTCTTATGTGAACCTGCACTCTGAACCCGTGTGTGTAAAGGAACCCGTGCACTGTGATTCTCTTGGCCTGGTTTTTGTACTCTCTCAAGTCCTCGGCACGTGTGCCCCTCAGAGCACACACAGCACGAGTATAAGAACTGAGCACCGTAGTCAGCAGAGGACAAATTATATTGTTATGCTTGGCCTAGGCTTAGGAAGCGAGAACCTCAACAAAAACACTCGCCCTTTACACACATGGTTGGTGACAGGTGCTGTTTTGGCTCAGTTGAGCATCTGACTTCCAGACTGATATTGCTCCTGTAAGGACACCAGTGGACCGCTGGTCAACACGCACGGCTCCCTCCTTGTCCACGAGAGGCCCCGCCAGCAGAGGGTGAGCACCGGACTGCAGGAACAGCAAA